GGGAGCCCGATGCGGGACTCGATCCCGGGACTCCAGGATCATGACCTGAGCCGAAGGCAGTTGCTTAACCAACTGAGCCACCCAGGCGCCCAAGGAACAGTTGAATGAATTTTAACTTTCATTTCAGAGATAGAAACATTTGCCCCAAGTCTGAGGGGAGAGGGCATTACTGCAAGGAATATATCGTGCCCTCCATATGAATTGCCTATTCCTTCCTTGAGATATGGAGATGCTGAAGTACTGTCAAAAAGACTGTCCTTCCACCCAAATAAAGTAGTAGACAATAAAAAAAAAAACTCCTATTGATACTTTGATAGGTGATTTTAAAATTTGGCCTGTGTGTCTTATTAATTTCTTTTCTCTTACAGCGTGGGGAAGGGCAGCGGCTGCCATGCTCTTCTGTGGCTTTATCATCCTGGTGATCTGTTTCATCCTGTCCTTCTTTGCCCTCTGCGGACCCCAGATGCTCGTCTTTCTGAGAGTGATTGGAGGCCTCCTGGCCATGGCTGGTAAGACTAAGTCAGCGGTTCTTCATTTGTACCTTCAGTAGACATCACGATAGCACTGTCCAACCCACAATCCTTGATAATTACACTTTCGGATCTGTTGTCAGAAAATGCGTCACCACGGGCAGAAGTAACAGAGACATGTGCTTTGAGGTCTAGGTCCCTTCCCTCCTGTGTCTCAGATGGTACCTCGTGTTTCCCATCCATGCTGCATGCTGCTGTCTCTTATAGGTGACCCCACATCCAGCGACACCCCTACTTTGAGGGACCAGGGCTGAGACAGGGCTGACTCGGTGCCCTGTTTCCATAGTGGCCCCAGTGCTGGCCTCCTGAGAGCCCCCTTGCTGAGGGGGCTGCAATGTCCCTGAGCCATTTTACTTATGGAAGGAGTGTTACAGTCTTATGATGTGGCGGGCCATAGAAAGGTTTTCTGCAGTGCGACAGGAGACCCTAGGAGGGGCCAGGTCCGGAACTGCCTTTTTGTATCATAGAGCTGATTCTGCGGGACGGGGGATTTAGTGATGCAGGTGGGTGTGGTCAGAGTGAACATTTATTAATGGAATGCAAGAACTAGGGATCTAGGAGCACAGCCGGCAGGCACCGCTTGGTGTAGACTAGTGTCTTAATGTTACAGAGTGAAAATGTGTTCCTACCCTATGACATGGCAAAAGAATGCAGAACACAACACAGCATGTGTATGCTCATTATAGCTTCATGGAGTTACGCATGTTCATTGAGAAAGAATATAGAAGTCGATTTAATCAAGTTCTTATTTTTTAAAGTTGCTTAAAATGTTAATATGATTAATAGTAATTGTAAGAAGATGACTCTTACGCCAAAGAGTTTAGAAGTCTTCTCGACCTGTGTTTTCTTTCTTATCTCCTCCTTACACTTCCCCATGGCAGTAGGACTATTCCCCTCCTGTTTCTGTTCCCCCAGCCTGGAATGCTGTTCCCTCTGACCTCCATCTCTCCATTTCTTTTTTTTTTTTTTAATTTTTT